TGGCAGGTCTTAATTAAGTAGTCTTCCGTCTAGCTGCTCTAGCCAACGAACTAACCCAAATCTGGTGGAGAATACCGTTGAACAGTATTTCGGTATTTTTGGTCAGTACACTCAAACATAAAAAAAAAATTGTTTACATAATCTTGTGCCGACTTAAATTAGGAAACATATAACCGACCTCTCTGTGTGTGTATATAAACATTATATATATGCTGTATATAATATACGTTTCAACATTTTACCATAGAACGAAAAGTAAACCAACATTTTGTAACTTTTCTTGCTCCACATCAAACGTCGGAGTGCTATATTGCTATTTATTAAATGTCAAAGTTTGTAGTATAAATAAGTAAGTTAGGTAAATATTTCAAAATATAGCTTTATTTCACATCAGTAGTGGGCAAAACCAAAATCCGGTTCGCAGTAAAATTTTAATTGGTTTATTTCATCTATATAAAAGTCGAAAATAAGAGTAAAAATCTCAAGTAACTTTTGTTTTTATAGTAATCTATATAACAGCTTCTCCACAATTAAACAATCAAGTTTTCATGAAATAATATGATGTTCAAATTTAAATTCCAAACAAAAAAGAGAGACTTTACAGCGTAAAGAAAGAAAAAAAACAAGTATTTTTAGTATATGATTTCTAAAGATTTCAGTTGGTTGTTTTCAGGAGGTCTCTACAGCCTGTAATCTCCCAAACCCTGGGTTCGAGGCTAGCCTGGAATATCAGGATAATAGTTTCAGAAAGCTCAATGTGGGATAAAGGATCACATTTTTAACGTATACATGTAATCAATGTTTATGTAATTTAACGTGTTTAAATATTGTGGCATTCGTAGTAAAGTTGATAATAAATTAAAATATACAATTAGCTGGTGACAGCAGCGATATATGTTGTAAGATAAAAATAAAGGCTATAAATTAAAAACTAATTTATCCTTTCTGGTTCGGATAAGTCAGATGGAGACTGAAACTGATCACCATAAGTCCAACATCTGTGAGTCGCGGGTTCGAATCCCCGTCACCATGGGGACGTTATAATGTGACGTTCAATTCCACTATTCGTTGGTAAAAGAGTAGCCCAAGAGTTGGCGGTGGGTGGTGTTGACTAGCTGCCTTTTCTCTAGTCTATCACTTTTAGCTTAGGAACGGCTAGCTATGCTAATCCTCGTGTAGCTTTGCGCGAAATTCAAACCAAACTAAACCAATAAATCTGTGACAACTGTAATCTAGTTTATCTTGTCACACACTCGGTGGGTCACAGCGACCCCTGTAATGAATAAAAACACAACAGTCCTTTCTTCATAACGAAGCTATATTTGTATAATTTCCGATTCAGTCTGACATTAAAAATGTTCAAAGTCCCATATGAAAAGGCGCGCATGAAGTACAAGAGAATTAGTATCCTTAATATCTTTATTGGGGGGTTCGTTATGCTACCCCCCCCCATGCAACATAGCTTCTAACACGTTTTTTTTCTTTGTAGTTCATCACAAAGCCATAAAATGGGCTATCTGTGCTATGCCCGTCACGGGCGTATCGAAACCTAGTTTTTAGCATTATAAGTCTTCAGCCTTACCGTTGAGCCACCAGGGGGCATTCTAGCACGTCCTACTATATAATGTTTATAGTCCTCTTTTGTTAATCGAATCAGCTATGATATTAGTTAGAAATCCCTTAAACTAATCTTAAAGGATTAGTGGGAAGCATCTGAAACTCAAACTATAACGTAAATAAACAGATATGTCATTCATACTTAATCCACATAAAGTTGATGTAGTTATCTAAAGTAAACGTTTTATCTTCAGTGAATATTGACAGCATTTTACAAATGTACTCATTCCAAACATGTGACCAAGGACAATAATTTACGTTGTAAAAAAAGGCGGTAAATGAGACATTGTGTGGTAGTTATGCTACCATTTTGACCGAAACAGAAATTTCGTGCTGGTAGAGGCTATGTTCGGAATCCCATTTCTTGGGTGAGAATATCATTTAGACAAGAGAGTCTGCTTTATATACATTTATTGTAAATGTATTTGTACATATATGAAATCTATTTTAGGTAAATGTATTTGTACATATATGAAATCTATTTTAGGTAAATGTATTTGTACATATATGAAATCTATTTTAGGTAAATGTATTTGTACATATATGAAATCTATTTTATGTAAATGTATTTGTACATATATGAAATCTGTTTTATGTAAATATATTTGTACATATATGAAATGTATTTCATGTAAATGTATTTGAACATATATGAAATGTATTTCATGTAAATGTATTTGTACATATATGAGCCCCCCAGTGGCATAGCGGTATGTCTGCGGACTTAAAACGCTAGAATCCGGATTTCAATACTCGTGGTGGGCAGAGCACAGATAGCCCATTGTGTAGCTTTGTGCTTAACTTCAAACAAACAAACAATACATATATGAAATTTTGTTTCGACGCTAAAACGGAAAAATCATATTGATATCCAACTTACAAGCACAACGATTTTCCCACCTTGTAGAAATATTTTATGACGTCAATCATGTTACGCATTTTTTCAATAACGCAACAGAAAGCTTGTATACACAAAAAAAGAAACCCTGACAGGAGCATCATCGACTGAACGAAATTTTATCTTATATTGTTTTTGTACAGACCGGAAACGTATCTATAATAAAGAAAGATGTCAGAAGAACGTTGCTAAAATGATACTTTTATACTGACAGAAAACTTTATCACACAACAAAGATGATTATTTCTCATTGAATGTGTTTGTTGTTGCTCTCCTTCATAAAATGTCCATGTTCCATTAAGATCAAAAAAGGCCCGGCATGGCCAGGTGGTTAGTGTGCTCGACTCGCAATCTGCGGGCCACGGGTTCGAACTCCCGTCCCACCAAGCATGCTCGCCATTTCAGCAGGGGGGCGTTATAATGTGACGGTTAATCCAACTACTCGTTGGTAAAAGAGTAGCCCAAGAGTTGGCGGTGGGTGGTGATGAGTAGCCGCCTCCCCTCTTGTCTTTCACTGCTAAATTAGGAACGGCTAGCGCAAATAGCCCTCGTGTAGTTTTGCGCGAAATTCAAATAAACAGATCAAAAGAATTAAGAGGCACGCATTGCCCTGAAAGGGGTCGGAGCAATGTGCGGTTTACTCCGACCCTCGTGTAGGACTAAACATCAACGTTCAGGACATCATATCATGGTTCAGAAGG